TTGCACTAATAACAATAAGAGATTATCATTTATTATTTCTTTTACGCTTACGCGATATAGGAAAATGCTTATCAGATTATAATTTAGGAGGTCTCAATTATACAAAATCAAATGTCAGATCGAAATCAATTTTCAAAGGTTTCAAATTGCTCCTGGTGCAGTTGTTGAGGAAATGTTGCTAGCATTTAACTTTAAAAACTCTTGCGATATTCATTGCATATTCTACACGAGCGAATGAACTCTCTTAGAATTCTTCTAATTTTTGAATTTTAAGCTACTGAGTCCTTTCAATACTTGGAATTTTATTGTAGCAGCTGTAGTCCTGGTAACCAAATTATGGTTTTGATATTTCTTGTGTAATCATTAAATCATTCAAAATAGTATATTATGCAACAAGTGCGGTAAACGGCATTTGACTCACGAGTTTATTTGACACGAGCGGAGCGAATGTTTAATAAACGAGTGACTTAAAAAGTTTACCGCACGTGTTGCATACTATACTTTTGCTACGACCGTTAGTTTTTGGGTACATCTTCGCAAAACAACACGAATACAGTCACTGACCTGACCGTCAGAATTGACAAACGTCAAAATTCAAAGCGTGGGAAATATCTCCCAAATCATCCGATTGCTCACAAATCCGTGCAGTAAATTCCCGGAAATGTCCGAAGTGGCTCGGATTCGTGGGAAACGAAACTGACGTGGTAAAGTGACGCTTCCCGCACGCTAGATCGGTGGCATTTTACAGACAGGAGTAGAAAAATTATATGTATTTATATGAAATGCTGTGGAAGTTTGATAGAGATTAATTTATTATATAATTCTTAAAGTACGAAAAGTTTTCTCATGGATAACTATCCAACCCAATTTCATTTTGTCAGTTACGCCACTCAACACTCTCTCCCTTTAATACGTCCTTTATTTGTGGATAATTTTGGTAGACAATATTCAATTAACGTTAAGTAACGTAATTCTAATGTATGTTTTTCTACTCCCGTCTGTAATATACCTAATTGCACAACGATCTAGCGTGCGGGAAGCGTCTCTTTAGCACGTGAGTTTGGTTTCCCACGGATCCAAGCCACGTTTTGAATTTTGACGTTTCTCAGTTCTGGCCGTCATGTCAGTGAATGTATTCGTGTTGTTTTGCGAAAATGTACCCGAAAACTAAGGGTCGTACAAAAACTATAGCATTTAACACGTTCGGTGAAGTTTTTAAGTAACTCGTTTATTAAACACTTGCTCTGCTGCAATCCGCTCGTGTCAAAGAAACTCGTGAGTCAAATATCGTTTACCGCACTTGTTACAAAATATACCATTAACATGCAAAGTTGTACATTTTAACTAGTAATTTAGGTGCGAATAACATTCGAGAACTTTATTTTTATTCCACTAGAACTAAGTAACTGTACATGTTTTGTTAACATGACTGCCGCTAATGTAGTGAAAATGTCCAGACTAAATTATTAAATCAAAACAGATAAGAATGGAACAACACTACACAATTTAAAAAGTTTTCGTTTAAAATCTTTTTTGAAAAAGCCATAATACAAAAAGTTGCGATTAGCGAATTACGCTTTGAGCACGATAATTTAATTATAAAAACATGTTTTCGACAGGAACGATACTGTGTTGTGCTAAAACACAAAAGTTTTCAAAGTTGTTCGTCGCCGAGACCTGCTTCGGTTGTCGGACACAGATTTCTACTAAATGCAAAGTTTTGGCACGCGAACTGGGACGTGTTTATAAGTAGTTTCATTCAAGTACTCGCGCTTTATTTCTTCACGCGTTTAGTACTCACCAGGAGTAGAAAAAATTATACGCCCGTCTGATATTTGCCAATTCGCTATAAGCTGTGACAACATTTTAGATAATTCTTATTTGTTTGTGCCTTACTCTAAAGTTAATAATGTCAGAACAACACATCTGTTATTGTAGCTAAATTGAATGTATACATTTATTTTGTCCGCTCTCGCATTTTTAACTCATGTTGTAGTAAACTTTTCCATTTGTCCAACTTAACTTGTGCCTATGTAAAAATTCATAAAATACTACGGCCATAAAAGTTTCTGCGTTAAAATTATAGGAGATAATCGGCAGCATAGAGCGATTCTGGTTGCAAAGATTGCTCCACACTGATCGGATAAAATTTTATTAAAGTCTCTTTTTGCAATAGAAGTTTAAAAGCCAATTTAAATTGAATTTGAGTTGCAATAAATTCTTGATTCCTTTTGAAATTTGTACATATTTTACATTATTTAATTTACATACACATTAATTGTACATTAATCGTTTCTATAAAATATTATTATAGTTTAAATTTTATTATAATTTAAATTAATAATATTGGGATAACGAACTGGCAGCTATTATATCATTTATTATTACAATACATACATAAAGGCAAAAAACATTATAAAGTTTGTTTTTGCTGCGTGATACTTCCTCTAATTAACATTTAATTTTCAGCAAACGAGGGAATTTTTTGTACCCATCAATAAATTCGCACAAAAGTGTTGCTTAACTTTTACGGTTATCGTCCATCCAGTTTTGGATTTTTTCTTCATAGTGTTTATTAAGAATATGGTTGTTTTTTCTAAATTTTCCACTTTTTTATTGGATAATACAATAAATATTTTGCCAAGCTCAGGGACTTTTATATTTTATAACGAATGACAAACAATAAGTTATTATGATAATTTTTAGTATTAAGAAAATTATCTATGACATAATTATATAAAGATATACTTTTTGGTGTCCTAAAAGAAAAATTGAGGCGGACTAACAAAATTGAGAAATGTTACAGAAGTAAGGGTAGAAAAAGACGTCTTAAGCAGAGCAAGGTATTTTCAAGAGAAAACTAAAAAAGGCAAGAAAGAGAAATGAAGCAGAAATTACTCGAGTGCTCTGTTAGTTACTGAAGTGCCACCCATGGTTTTCTATTCTCTAGCATTGATATTTGAGCGAAGTCTGACCCCCAACAGCTCACGTTCAAAATAAAACTTTACCGAACCCAAGCGGAAATTCCCGAAAATGTAAGATGTCAGATCTTAATAGGAATCGTGTATCAGATTGAAAATTTCAGATCTTTAGTCAACCATCTTGAGAAATAAATGGATAATGTTTTTTTTACTAACGAGATAAATACAGGAGTCTTAATTTTTTAATTAGATTTATAATTTGATTAAATGCTTCAAGTTGATGATACTTTTAAGTATTTTATGTTTTATTTGATGAAATAAATTAAAAACATTAATTATTATTTAGACTTTATATAGCTTTATTACTTATTCTAGGTATATTTAAAAAATATAATTTTGTTTAATATTCCGTGCTTTATGTCGCCTATCTACTATTATAGCTTTATAAATAAAACCCCTTATTTCCATTCAAAACGCATACAAACCGTTGACACTTTAAGGTAACGGTTCCTTAATACGGCTTAAACTATGAAAAATGAACACCATTCTGTTTAATTATGTACGTGCCAGAAACGTCAATAAAGGGCTTTCGCGTATTAAAGTGAAATTTATTTTCGGAAAGCGACACGGATCTTCTTCTCGAATTTCCGCACCGGGTTTTAAACTTGTTTATTTTTTTTTTTAGTTTGAGCGAATTTACCCATCGGGATAAATTAGATTTTGCCCCAAAATCTTATTAAAACCGCCAATAAAATCGCTTTTAGCTTTGCTTCAAAGCCATCGATAAAATTACATGTTTTTAATTATAAGCGGGTTCGCTTCATTTTAATTTTCTAGTTTTTGTAACGCAATATAATTTTCCCGTACATAGAGAGGGGTTCTGCGTCACAACTTTGCGAGCAACTTATAAAAGTAACAAGAGCTTGCAATATTAATTTGATCATTGTCCGTTGAGTAATAATTCCCAACCATTGTGATCTCGCAAAATGGTTTTGTGGATTACCATTACCATTGGCAAGTTTCTCTACGATTCGTGGATCTGAAATGGCCACACTGCAATACGAGTCGGAAATTGTTTTCTCTCTATTCATATAGTGGAATTGGCGATATTATCAGAGATTAAAATTTTAAATATTCTCCACTCAACCGTCATTCAGCTAATTCAAAAATGTACATTTATACGTTTTGTTAATATGTTAGTTTAATAATAAACAATAAACAAACCTCAATAAATAACTCGACCAACTATATGTCAGAATATTATTCCGCCTTCTACATTAATGATAATCTTTTGGCACTAATTCCATAAGCTATATCCTGTGGCGTGCTTTCCATTAGATTTTTATCAATTATCAATTTTTAATCTTAATGTATGCAATTCATTGCATTGACAAAACAAATACACAAATATGTAATTAATTAAAACCGCTTTGAAGTAGCCGAAAGTAAACTATCTCCAGATTGGAAACTTCCTCGCACGACCCAGCCAACACTAAAAATGAGCTAAATAACACGATAGCCAACTTGAGAAACTTAGCAGGCCACTTTATGTATGGTTGTTGTTTTCAATACCTGGAGAAAACAATCTTTTGACATTCTGTAGAAAAATTAAAACCATTTAAGATAATGGTTTAGTTCTTAACTGTCATATTTGTAGCATTTCCATTTCTAGTACTCAAGTGCAAGTTCAGCTTCTCGTTTTGAAGACGGCGTTATACTAAACTGGATGTCGAACAAATTACAGCTAGACAAGGCATTGGCTTAGTGAGCACCAATCGAAATTTAATTCAGATAGAGGTCAAGCGCAAATGTACATATATGAATAGAAATATCCAATGAAATTGCAGTTTTCTGCAAATATGTTAATTTAGTTGATATGTTGGTGGGTTGGTAAAATTTTATGTTAAGTCAATACAAGTCAATTGCTCTAACTAACTACAGATATACCTATTGTTTCTGGCATTGATGAAAAAGCAAACTCTACATCTGTAGGTAAATAAAACAACAACAAACAAACAAATAAAACAACAAAAAACGAACTGAATTTTCAGCAAGTCAAATTAGTATTAAAATGATTACCTACTTGGCGATTTCAACTCTCGGAAATGACAATTAAGCGTTGAGTCCGTGGAGTTTCGGTTGGGTCGGCGGTCAGCCCCAATCCAGATTTCTCCATAAACGATCCCGGAACGAAAATGTGATGCGCAGTCATTGGCTAATTTCCAGAAGCCATTAAACTTTAACTTCCTTTGAACTAAACCTCAATGGCGGCACAGGCGACATAGAGCCGGGATAATTATTGAGCTCCTCTGTGTTGCCGCCGACTTGGCGGCCTTTTTGCGTGTTGCGCCTAGGGCTTTAGTGTTGATTTCGTTTAAGCTAGTCAGGAGTGATACCGCCGTAAAATGCGTTTAAGGTTCCTCTTCATACGTAAAGCTATTATTTGCGAAAACTGTATCTCCCAGTTGTGATGGATGTGTTTCAACCTAAGCACACCGGATTCAGAAGCGTCGAAAACAATACACACACTATACTATACTAACGGAGTGTATTACTACACGTGAAAAAACAGAAAAGTACAAATTGCATGGATCGGTCGTACCGACTCTGGTGCAGCCGATGAAAGTCCAACGAACAATCAAATAACATGTCAACACCGTTCCTCCCCTAAAAAGGAACTGGCTAGTCCGCGCTCCTTCGCCGATCTCGTCTATGACAATTGGCAACAGAGGGCGCCCAGTACGTCACTCCACATAGTACACTCCTACCAATTTTTAAACCATCACACAGTTATATTTAGATAAAAACCTCGATAAAATCCAAAATTCTACTATAGGAAATGAAGAGGAGTTTTTTGAAATTACCTAAATAACAGCAGGATGGAAGAAAGCACTTAACCGAATTTTTCTACTCCCTACTACAACCGAGTTAATCAATGGCGAGAGCCTCTTCAGACGTTTCCAGTACTTCTCCTAAGGGTTTGGGAGTGATCGAGCAAAAATATGCCCAAAAACTAATAGCCGTAAAAAGTATATTAAGCAAAATTAAGTCTATGTCTCAGTATATTTCTGAGGTTATTGATAGAGGTTCTCAAAAGGACGTCATATATATTATATTTTCAAAATCGTTTGATCGCCCAGATCACAGAATTCTTATCCACAAGCTTTAATTTTGCGAATCGCTTGTTAATTTGTTTTCTTTCAGTTTGATTGTTTTTTCGTTTTCTTCTTGTCTAACCACACTCAGTATGTCTATCTCTATGTTTAGACACTCCTCAAGGCTCAATATTGGGGCCATTGTTATTCAACATTTTCGTTAATGACGTTGGTAAGGACCTTGTTGTCAGTTTTTTGATATATGCGGACGACGTAATTTTTTTTAAAAAGTCCAGTGCTCAGAAGATTGTCGTACTCTCCAGCCTAGTTTGGAGCAAATCAACAATTGGTCCCTAAATAATAACTTGCAACTTGATACAGCCAAATGTAAAGTGGAGTCTTTTACCACAAGTATAAGTATAAGTTGGATGAAGTATTTATTATTTAATGACTTTATTTAAAATTTTAAATAACTTGTTTGATCGCTCTGACCTATGACATAGACTAAATTTTCTTGTTTCCCGTATTAACTCTAGTAATTCATTCTTTCTGTCCACACCAGGAACTAATACAATATGCGACTTGGACTTTTTTTTGGAAATCTATTATTAAGATGTAAACGTTATTGCGCCATTAACAATAATTATTAATTTCAGTTTTTTCCTATTCTCTTGTTTTTTTTTTTATTAGAGTTTATGTTAGGCTAGATTCTAGGTTGCAATGGCTTTGTAACTATTTAACTTGAACTGCTCCCTACTGCTAGTTGGGCTTCATGCTTGTTAGGTAAACTTCTTTAAATAAATAAATAAATAAAACTTCTAACAGAAAAATGATAATTACGATATCGCATATAGCTTTTAAATATTGTATTTTAGATACATTTAAGGTTAAACTAACTAACTAAATGCCCAGGCCAATAAGTCGCTAGTAAGATCGAAGCTTTGTTTTAATTTTTTACGATCCAGCCCGTTACAAATAATGTTCCCGACGACTAATGTACTATACTAAAGGTTTCACATGATCAGCGATTCGAGACGATACATAGGCGTGACCGGTGCAAAATAAAAAATCACTTCTACGAGAGCGACCGAAAAAATTGGATAAAAATCCAAACTAAAGCCTTAACAATACGCCTTATCTCGGAAAGTCTCCGGCTTTGCTCGTCCCTTTTTTGCACAAAAAAGGACCTAATGCCTCGATAATAACCCTTTCCTCTTCCCGGTTCTTAGCGGCACCGGCGTTTGCCTCGTCCCTAACGACTCTGAAACCTTTTCGTAATAATGTTCCATTTTCCTGAAATTTATTCCCGTGTTGTTCGGGTCGGCGGGTTGTCGTCATCGTTCGACGCTGCCACCGCTGTGGGATTTCGGTGTGGTTTTTAAGGCCGTTTTTGCATCCGTTTTCCTATATAGGCACCCAAAACGAGTTCAACAATTTTCATATGCGAACTGGTGTGGGTTTACCTACCCATAACATGTGATATGTTACTTTAAAGTATTAAAAGCAGTACCGATCTGCTGTAGACGTAAGTATATTCAGGAAAATGTTGGGTTTCAACGCTGTAACACTTAACACTTGTTAGAAATTGGTACCATGAACCAGCTTTTTTGGATTCCTTTTGCCTCCACATTGCTTGGACAAACATTAAATAACACAAAATTTCAAAACCTCGCTGAAAAAATATGAATAAAAATTATTTTTTGTAAGTTATTCACTGCGTTTTAAAATGAAATTAAAGATTAATTTATAATTGAATCAAATATTGTTCACCAAATACCATCCTATTTAAATATTTTTAAAGATGTCTGTAATAATTGTAGGGACACAGTTTATTATTTAATAAGACTGATAAACGACGGTTTAGTTTGTCGGAAAAAATGATTTAATGTTTAAAGTATTTAGCTATTTTAATTGGAAAAAAATCTCCCAGAAACTTATTAGCTTGCTTGGCAGTCTTGCTAGAAAGCAGTCTGCTACAAGTTGAAACTAATAAGGCCTTATTAGTGATACTCTTAATTAATGAGTTTCTCTTTTATATTAAATGAAATAGCAGTTCAGTGTAATTGGAAAATATAAAAATAGAAAGACGAGAAAACTCTTGCAGAAACTGTATTTCATTGTTTGGCGAGAAAATTGTCCTTTGTGCACTTGCTAGGACACTTTTCTCTTACCATTTATGGGCTGGACGGCCTTACCCTGTATTGAAATCAAATAGCAAATATTACTCATATACTTAAAAAAAAATTGTACTAGTTTTCTTTATATTACTAAATCGATTTTCTTTAAACTCAGCATAAATCCCAGAATGATTTGGTTCTCTCTAAAATACAATGAATATTCTGGTTATAATTTTATACTCTTGTGATCACCAATTAAAATTAAAAGTCGTTTCTCGTATTTCCTTTTATCCACATTCCTGATAATATCCAAAGATGGAAACAATTTAGAGAAATGGGGTGTGGAATCCACTACGAATATAATATCATGACATTATAATAGGGTATCAAAAGGATTGGTATCTGACAGCATCGTACATCTCGCAATCAGTAATGAGTTCGGCATTGGGGTTCCACATGCAGAAATTGATACAAGATCACTCAGAAAATATACAGATTAATACTTATTCTGTTTCACCCATATTGTAAAAAAATGCCTTTCGTTCCCTTAAAAGCTTATAGAAATTCGGTTATTCCACACCCCTGGTAGCATCAAAGGCTCTAAAATCAAGTGTAATCGAATTTGCTTTAACCCAGTTCGCCGACTCATTTTATTGTTCAATTACCAGTCAATTTGATTAATATATTATAGGCGATGTAATTACCGGTTAACCAATGGGTATTAATATTTTGATATGGGTTGATAGGATTTGATTAATCGAATTTAGGTCTAATGCATACCATCCAGCAAAAAAATATTCCACATTATTTACTTAGATTCACTATAAATTAAGATGCATTCATAAGCTAATCAATAGTTTTATTATTGGTGTCCACTAAAATCTCGTGACTAACTCGGTTATTGAAGCTAACGTCTTAAGATGACACTTTAAGCACGCTCGATGGGATCGCTTGATACAATTGTTTTACACATCTCCGATACAGAATAACATATTAGTATGTAATGCAACAAATGCGGTAAACGCCATTTGACTGACGAGTTTATTTGACACGAGCGGAGCATAGTATACTTTTTCTACGACCGTTAGTTTTTGGGTACATTTTCACGAAACAACACGAATACTGACATTAATATCTCCGAAAATATCCGATTGCTAACAAACCCATAGGGTAAAATCCCGGAAATTTCCGAAGTGGCTCGGATCTGTGGGAAACGAAACTGACGTGGTAAAGTGACGCTTCCCGCACGCTATATCGGTGTGTAATTAGGTATTTTATAGACGGGAATAGAAAGATAATTGTAAACAACAAACGCGGGCAAACATTTTTAACAATTTTAGATTGGAGGTGCCGTCATGTATTCCTCGAAGGAGTAAAAATCCATTCCCACCAGATATTCCATTACCATCCTTTTGAATGAATAAAGGAACTAGTAGAGATATTCATCCCGTTGTTCCTCATCAACACAGACAGACACGCAAAAGTTGTTATCCTCTGGTTGGGTGGTTATGAATGTCTGAGTGACAAGAAAATTTATTCTCGTTTTTGTGTGTTTCAATGAGCGACTGAAAGATGTACATTGAATGAACTGTCAAATAATGGCCTGCAGTGCGTACGTTGGTTAGACGCTCATAAGATCCGCGCTACCCGTTTCTGCAAGATAAAGGTCTCATTAATTACCCCATAATTCGAGTCTATTGGCAATATGAGAGTAAAAAGGGGCCATAATAAGCACTTTAAACAACGCAAAGCTAAGAAATTATTTAAGCCGTCTTGATTAAAAGTATGTTGCTAGAGACTTTGTTACATGATATGTGGACTGTGCGCAATACGTTATCTCTATGAATGCGCCCCAACCATCTTTCTGCAATTTGGGCTTGCTTAAAATCGTCATTCTACCAGTCTATCGGATATAGAGTTACCCAATAACAAAATAATTAATCTATTATGGAAATTAAACCATTGACTATATTATGATTTTGCGTTTATTATACTTTTTAAATTTTATTTGTCTATCGGTTTTATGGACTATTTTATTAATCAAATGCTTTTATAGGTTCACGTCCCGAGCCCTTACGGAAACATATTGTACTTTTTATTTATATTAAAGAATTTTCAGGGTTGAGCATTTTGCTCTGATAATATCACCAATTTACGTGCGTGAGAAGATCAGTTAGATATCGAACACACATAGAAATTGTATGAAATCTCGAGACAATTTTTTCGCCTGTGCAAGATAAGTGAGGCAAATCAGAACAGACATTTATTTACCTTTTACAAAACTTTTAGATTCCTCCTGCGTCGGTATTTGCTGAGTCGAAATTGCTGACGTTTCGCCAATCATCCTGTTGGCTTCTTCGGAGCTTGACTGTAACTGGCTAAGGGCCATAAACCCCTCGGATGACTGATGACTGGTGATAGGTAGAACCCTGAATCG